AAAAAAAAAAAAAAATCAATGTGGTTTGCAAGGTGCTGTTTAGCTCTTTCACTTAAGTATATCATGTTTGCATGTTTTCTTGTCAGCGAGACTTTGGAGGTTGCTGCTTTTTGAAGTTAAGGCAGTTTTGCTTCCACAAAATTCTAAAATTGATATTTTAATAGAGCAGAAATAATTTCCCAAGGAAAAAAGAAAGACCTGCTTGCAGTGTGATTTATAGTACTAATGAGAACTCATCCTCCAACTTACTCTTAAACACTGATCATAGCACCCTGACACCAAGCAGGCAAACTAGAGAATTAAATAAAGATGGATTTAAGAAACCAAAAACAAATAGAAATTTTAAAAAAAGAGAGGCTGCTGTGTCTTGCTTTGTGAAAGTGTTCAGACATGAACGGGTCAAAGCTTTCCAAAAGAAAAAAAAAACCTTCCTCCATTCAGATCTGAAAACCATATTGACTGTTTTTCCTTCATTAACACAACTGAAGTAGATTTTTGCAAATTTACTAAACTGAAGGTTCAGAAATTTCTTAAGTAGTTAATTTGCTGCAGATGTTAAGGACACAGTACCAGATAAAAGTAAGGAAATAACAAAAAGCCCCAGGTGTAAATCTCCTACCGTGAGCGTAGCCTTTTCATATTAGACACGACTGAATAGCTCCATTCCCTCAGTGTTTGTCAGCTCAGCTTGTTCAGAGCTAATGCAGCGTAAATAAATGTAACGCTTAATGGAAAAAGTGACGTGCAAATTCACATTTTTTGTCATTCGGGGCTATTGAAGCATGATCAGTGATTTGTTATTTTGCCTAGATTAATATTCACAGTACTGTGCAAAAGTCTTGAGCCACCCCTCACATTTTCCTTCCAGTGAGACAGACTGTTGTTATTTATTCATTTATTGTGAAAGCAGTCTGGATCCAGTAGTTATCCAGGCTTTCTTGGGGTCTTTCAAATGGTTTTTTGTTTTGTTTTTTGACATGGGCTACTTTTTCTCTCATTCTCAGTCCAGTCCTTTTACCTGACCATTTTCGAAGGAGTGCTTCTCATTTAAACCTAAGAAAAGCACCTAACTCTATTTAATAACCAGTTTTATGTTTACATGTAACAGACGAGTGAGCAAAGAATCAATTTAAACATTTATCTTTAGACATTTTATTACTAGCCTGCTTAAACACACAATTTGTTTGGATTTCTGTAGCTGAATCTGTGAAAAAAATACCAAAGATGACAGTTTGATAAGCATAAAATATTTTTTTTTGCACTAGCCAGGTGATTCACAGAGAGCCCTTAGCAGAAAACCTTTATATATCTCATGGTGGTGTGCAGTACATTCTTTAAAAAAAAGAGGTAAGAATCTGGACAAGTGGTGGACAAAAGAAGAATTGGCAAGACTAAAAAACTATGTACAGCAGATGATCAGTGTCTGACAGCCATGTCCTTAAGAGACAGGAAATTATCCAGCAAAGATCTGACACAGGACCTGAAAGACCCATCAGGACCTTCTACTGTTTGTCAAAAACATCATTAGACATGGTCTCAGGGGAAGGGTGGCTGTCAAGAAGCCATTCTTAATGAATTGAAACACAGAGAGAAGGCTGAGGTATGCCAAATTACACAAGAATTGGACTGAAAATCATGGCATGATGATTTGTTTGGCTCAAATCATTGGCAGCATGTGGAGGTCGTCACGAGAGAGGTGAACAGTGAGTGTTTACGGCCATCAGTAAAACACAGAGGCAGCATTGTCGTGGTTTGGTGCTGCATTTCATACAGTGGTGTTGGAGATCTTGTTAAAACTGATAGAGTTAACACACCATTCAGTACCATTTGAAAAGTATCTGCTTCATTTTTCAGCATAATAATGTTGAAAAGATGACAATCCCGAACCAACCTGGAGAGAAAAACCACAGTGGACCGCTATCACTGATTAAATGGCCTCCTCAGAGCCCAGGCCGCAAAATGTTTAAAGCACTGTGGGATCATCTCCACAGAAAAATAAACAAAAGTCAGCAGACATCCAAGGAAGAGCTTCCAATGCCATTTAAGAAGCCCGGAGAACTATTCCTAAAGACTACGTAAACAAAGCAAGAAAGGTGGTCCTAGCAGATGGTGACTTTGAAGCTTGTCAGTTTTTGCCTTATGTATTGTATTTCCATCTATGTTTGTCATGTTTCAGTGAATTACTGTATGTATTATTTTAAAGCAAAATATAAAGATGTAAAAAGCGGTATTATGTTCTTAACAATGTGATTGGTTTTGCACCAGTCCTCTTCATACCCTGCTGTGTTCTTAAGATCAGGTCTAAAGCTTAGTGGGAGTCAGTGTAAGGAGGCTAAAATGAATTTAGTTCTCTACAGCAAAAGGCTAAATAAGTTCCCAATAAAGGACCAGCAGATGGCAAAATTTGTCTTACAGTGGGTTGCATGGATACTGAGTTTCCTAATTTGACCACTTGAGGACACTGTTGGACAGCTGCTTTAGTCAAATCATTTGTCGTTTTTGGGAAAGTACTGGAGGCTTGTTGTGTATAAAATCACAAAACAAAAGAAAATGTGGTATGTGACTTGTATACCCTAGTGGTTACCTTCCCTGCTACTGGCAATTAAAATGAGGACATAACTGTAATGACTGTGATTACTGCAGTAATCACAAAGTAGGAATATTCAAGACCCTTTGTGGATTTGGCTGTAAAACCACGTGTGGCCTCACACGGCTTTACACAATCCAAAGTCATGCGGACCACCCTGCCTCACAATTGTTATCCAAGACCATGTTGATCCAGACCACTTCTCAAAAAGAAAAAGACTCTGGCATGCAGCAATATAATGAACAGCCAAAGAGCATTAAGTGTGGTGTCACTTGGTCTGCCATTAGTATTGTGTGTAATTGTTATTTCTGTCTCCTCTGTCCAGATAATGACGTCCTGCAGTTTGGCAAGCTAGTAAGCACCTCCAACACTTATGAGCCCACTGACCCCGGAAAGCCCAGGAAGGCCGTAACCGTGACCACAGACCAGCCTCTTCTTTGGAGCATGGGCATCGGTAAAAACGGGGAATGACAAAGAAGAGAAATCTTTCTTAATGGAAGTGAAAAATGTGGAATTGTGACCTAGTTTCTCCAGATCAGCTACGGGGAAAAAAATCTCAGGTTTTACACATTTGAACAGGCTTCTTAATTTTTGTTCGCTCAGATATAAATGAAAAATCTAATGCTGAAAAGCTAATTTCTTTGCTGTAACCATGGTGACCACTGTCTTTTGAATAACATACTCAAACCACAATAGCCAAATTATTACTACTCTGATGGTAACGTGAAGTGGCACTATACAGTTAAACTCTATTCCTACCTTGAGCTTCTACACTGTAGTGTTAAATTCAAAATGAACAATTCTGTTTTAATATCTGCACATTGCCTACGTGTGTCCAGATATCCACTTTGCATAGCAGCATCCTGCGTGTGCCTTTGAGGTCAAGACGATGGGCCTGCCTTCTGTGGCTGTTAGCAATCTCTATGGATTAAATCAAATTGAGAACGCCTAATTAAAAGTGCCTTTTGATTGCAGATTTACAAAAGGTAAAAACCAAGCTACTGCAAAAAGGTGCTGTGTTGATAGAGTAGACGGGACAGATCAGATTTCCAATTATTTTTATTTACACAGTGACATATAAATGTTGAGCACAGAATGTAAAAATGCCATCCCGACAATCCCCCCTCCCCCCCAATCACACCAGCTGTTAACACTGCACCACCATCTCCTGTCCCCAAAAGATGAAGTCTGAGTGATCAGGACCTAACCGCCACTAGAAGGAAAAACAGAGAAGGGGATGTTAAGTTGGAGAACACAAATGCACCTTATTTTTCACATATTCTCACTTTTTATAACAGCCTATGCTGTCTTCTACTGTACACAAACAACTGCCAACAGTACTGGTGTGACTTTTTAAATCCTGTGTTTTGTGTAATAAAAATGATTAATCACTGGAAGAGTTTGTGTCATTTTATCATCCATTTAATGAAATTTACATACAAGAGAAACTTGATCAGAGACTTAAATAAAAGATGCAATCATGTTAAATTTGTCTGTGGAAATATAGTATTAGTAGCAGCTATAACATATGACTGTAACAATTAATGGTAGAGCCATAGTGATTCACAAGATTCAAGGGTGACGGCAGAAATTCTGGATCAAAGTGCAGTATTTTTTCCATTATAAAATTAAGACATTACAGGAGTTTTAAAATAAAAATACATATATTGTACTGAGTGAAATTGAGGATGAACTTAGATAACAATAAGTAAAGGCAGATGATAATGAGAAGTGGGTCTGGATCAGTAAGTTACCCTCATTGTCTGTAGAGTCATCACTGACTTCAATTTTGAATGACCAGCTGTACTCAGATTGAGAGGAATACAAAGGAAAACCCTAACCCCCCAAATTATCAGTGAGCCAGATGAGAGCACGTTTTAGACGATATTATCTAAAAATTGTTCAGAGACAGTCTGCGTGATGCTGTTTATCATAAATTGTTTACTTACACAATGATGTTGTTGATGGGGATGTGAATGAGCTTGACAAAGAAACCAATGAATCCCATGATGGCAAACCCAATCGCTGTGGCCATTGCAATCTTCTGAAATTCTGGGTGAGGGAAAAATAATCATTGTTAAAAATACTGGAAATAATACAATGTCCCTATTAAAGAATTGAGCTCTTTGGATCCGGAATTTGCTAGTCAATTGGTTCAAATTTATATATTCATTTTTGTTTCCAGCAAACAAAGGCTAGCCGACATAAATAAAAAGAAACAACACCCACCTTTTCTGTCAGGTTTTGTGCACCTCTTAACGAGCCTGATGGAGTCTTTCACGAACTGCCGGCCGGGCTCAACAAACTGCATAACCTGATCCATGGTGCTTAGTCTGAAACAACACCAGTCAATCTTAAAGCTGGGACTGGTTTCAGTGCTGACGTTGACTTAAGCTGACCGAGCTTTAACAACTTTGTTATTATAAATATAGTGTATATATTCTCATTTTCTAAGAAAGAAACAAAAATACGATTAAAAACAAGTATGCGAAGCTGATTTTAAGTCAGTTATGTTACGTTAATTTAATTAAAACTCGACCTTAGCTAACGCTATCCTAAGATATGCTAACTATTATGGCGACGTAGCGTTATGTTGGCAATAAGCCTCGACATGTAAAATAAAATCAAAAGGTTCCAACCCAACTATAGTTGGTTACATTTATCTGATGAAAAAGATACATGTGTATTTAAAAGCGGCAGTTAGCTTACCTATTTCCTACGTGATATTTAGTAAGAAAGTCAGAGAAGTGAGAGCCACGTAGCTACGACACAGATCACCCCTTGTACAGAAAGACCTGACGTAGACTTTAGGAGCGCATGCGTATTGTATTCTATGCGCTGTTATCATTCTCTGCACCGCCCCCTGCAGGCGGGGAGGTGTTCTTAACGATTACACTTTCTGGAGTCGACAGGCAGAAGGAAGAGAGGAAGACCTCAAAGAAGATCCATGAATGTAATGGAGCTGGCTATAAAGAGGATTGGTGTGATACTGTAAGATCATATATCCCATCTTTATTTACATATTTGGGCAAGCAAACATTTGCAGCCATCATCCCAGAAACACATTAATAGCAATAGACTGAAAAAATAAAAACAATCAAGATAATAAACAAGTCTTTAGTCGAGGACTAGAATTAGGTATAGAAAAACAAGTTTATCCCCTTTAATAAAGATAAAACACTCTAGCAGAAAGCAAACTGACAATGGTTTAGTCGCTTTCACAATTAAAATAAATAAGAAAACTAAATAGTTACAAAGGAATTAGGGCCCCTAAATTTATCACATATTTAAATCCATAAAATTACAATCAGGGGTTCTAGATCCTTTTTTTCAGAGACTGTATATCTAAATCAGAATGCACACATTGTTCAGACAGATTACTGGTCATGGGCTTATCTTATTCCACATTCCTTAGGCACTAAATCCTCCCTCATGTGATGCAGATTAAGATGTGATTTCTAAACAGCATTCTGGCATTTGCTTTATAATGACTTTTCTTTCCTTTCTTCATTATACTTAGCCTACTCATCTCAGTGTCATAGTGTCAAAGCACACATGTCACATCACATAACATGTCTATAGGTTACAAACGAGCAAAATTTTGCAATGTAGTTGTTACTCTTACATGCTGACACTTACAACCATATGTGTCCATGCTGTAAATAGTTCTTTCTACTGTTAGGAGGAAAGGTAGAACTGCAAGCATTCATAATGATCTGAGTTTTACTGATCAGAACCAGATCCACACTTTGCTCTATCTCGCTGTTCAAGACTGGAATGAACAAGATATGCCCTCACAGAAATAAGCATCATGCACTTTTTAATAACACTTTTTCCCACCAAAACATACAATGTACAGCTTTTTTAGATCATTTACAAAATAAAATGGTCTTTGGAGCAATCCTGTTACTTTTCTTTTAAACAGTAACATTAATACATGTATAAAACTGCTTAGCAGTGCTGTTTAAAGTATGATGTTTTCACACACAGTGTCTTCACTGCCAGGTGATGCCGAGCATGTTACAGCTGACCTCCCACAGTTTCTGCGCCAAGTCATCATCAGAGGCGGTTCTTGAGCACCTTGCAGTGGCGCAGTCACTGCACACACAAAGAAACAGAAAATGAGAATTACACACTATGCACTGCATTTATGTAACTTATAAAAAATGGGGAAAAAACATTACATCAAGTGTAACTTTTCCTTTATTACCAGGTAGAAACACTGGGCACGGTAACACCGGCACTCTAAAAGCTCTTGCGGTTAACTGAAATACTTGGACTGTGTACCTGAAGTACCCTCCGCTCAGGCTCTCTAGACCTGGCTCTGCAGCACAGTAAATGGTAGTCTGCGCTCCCTCCACTGTGGTCTTGGTGAAAACCTTGAAGATCTTCACCGCCACTTGGATACATTGGTGCTGGTGCCTCCACAGGTCAGACTGAACCACCCCTGGGTGCAGAGAGAAGACGCTCACCCCTGTACCTGCAACACAAATGCAAGCACATACAAATGCTGCCAAATAACATGTGCTAACAATTGTCACCTGCTATTTACTGTATATGTGCATGTTGGGATTTTAAGCGAGGTTTGTAACATTTTTTTCAACCAGTCCCTACTCCCTACAGTGAATATAGTTTTTTTCTTTTTAATGAAAACAACAACAGACAAGTTAGCCTTTGTTAAAACACCTTCAGTTTATTTCTGAGTTAATGGACTGAGCTCTACTCCTGGAGGATTAAAGAGAGCATTCAAGTGGAAGTGGGACTCAAATGTAACTGTTGGCAGATGAGTAGGTACGAAGGCAGACAAGTACTGACATAGGCAAGTATTTCTGCAAGTTACTCAGGGTGACGTTAATAGAAAGTTTAAGCTTGTTGCTGCCAGACTGTTGTTATGTAAAAATGTAAAAAAAAAAAAATCGACTTCCTTGACTCAACAGCACAACTTCATCCCATTAGTCAGATTCCATGACTCTGAGTCTCTCAGCAAAACCCGCCTACACGATGTCTGCACATGCTCCACTTTTACACATTTCTGTGGCCATATCATGGCTGTAAGATACCCATGTGTTATAGCCTTCATTCCTCATGATGCACATTTGGATATTCCTTTTCTAAAAGCTCACCTTGCAACCTTTTTGCGAGTGAGCGTGCAAAGAGGACGTTAGCCAGTTTGCTCTGTCCGTAGGCCTTCATAGCATCGTAACTCTTCTCACTGTTGATATCATCCAGTCGAAGCCCAGTCCAGGTATGGGCCACCGATGCCACCACGACAATACGGGCCGGAGCAGAACGCTTGATAAGGTCCAAGAGTAAGTAAGTCAGCAGGACGTGACCTGATGAAAACAATTAGAACACCTTTTCTTGTTAATTTATTAACAAAGCAAACCCAGCAGTTAATGTGTAGTGTATGTATAATAACCCTTTTAACAAATATAATTAATTTTACTAATTTGCAAAAAAGACACATAAGGAAACTGTACCAATCACATCAGTGACTAGCTGTGCTTCTTGTATACCTGTTGCTGGAATTTGTGTGGTTGTTTCTCATATGCAACATAAAGTAGCTCTTCCTGTGGAGTTCATAAAAAAGCCAGCCACCTGACTGAGAACAATCTAAAATCTGACTCCATTTAGACGACCAAACCTGGCCACCCTCGTTTTCAATTTACATGGCACTCTACAACCGCAGGAGTCGCAATCTCAAGCAAATCTCGTGGTTTTTTTCCTACTCCTTCTTCCTTGCTGTGAGCTTTCTGCTTTGTTAGAAGTCAGAAAGTTTACATTATCACCGGATATTATTCCTGCTGATGTGGTAAACACTGTGTCACCCAATATAATGCATGCCAAGAAGTTTTCTTTTTCTTTTTTTGTTTGCAAAACGTTGAGGGACTCTTCTTGATCTTAATAAGAGCATTTTTCTTTACTATTTTTTCATTAATTCCCATTTTGTGTAACAATATCACTGTTTAAAAGAGCATGTGAACACATAAAGAATGTGCCGAAGTGCACAGGTTTATTTCTGGATATTTGTACATGTCTGTGTGTTTGCATATGTGTGTGGGAGACCATGCTGGAGCACAGAGTGTTCCCGCTCCGTCAGCCTGAGACAAAAATAACATGGAGGAAAACATCACCTAGGAAGAATCCATGGTCCAATAAAGGAGGAAACACCGGCAGCAGCAACTCTAGTTCATTGTCCTAGCTTGGTGAGATGTGTTATTAATGCCAGATTTAAAATGACCTTTTTCACTATGAAAATACGCCTGTCACCAGGCAAACTTAGCATAAATTCAGTCAGAGGCACAATGTAACTGTCAGCTGTTCACGTTAAAGTAAACTGGCAAATCTAAGCTGTCAGAAAAAGTTGTAGCCAAGCAAACTGTGTAAACATATTTAATGACTGCTTCTAAATATGAAACATGAGCCTTAATTTCAAAACAAAAAAGAGGCGTAAAAATGCAGACAGAACAATACAAAACTGAGAGTAACTTACCCAAGTGATTGACACCTAGCTGCATTTCAAACCCATCAACCGTCTTGGAGTAGGGACACATCATAATGCCTGCGTTGTTTATCAGGATATTCACTTGTTTTTCCTCTGGAGAAAAAAACCAAAAAACCACACAAACTGATAAAGATTGGGTATAAAATTTCATATGTACCGAATACACTTCATATCTGATAAAACAACTGGTTTTAAATTCAAATGCTTTTACAGTATGCCTCTAATTATCGGCAGCAGAGGCAGTGGAGGGGCTGAACAAACAGGGATTTATACATCAGCCCTGCAATTAGTGAGCCCTGTTTGCTTGAAGAGTCCATTACTCCTTAAGAGGCATACAAGTATGCTCTTGAAAGGAAAAGTGGATTTTTAAAAAAAGCATATACCTTTGATAACAACTTCAGCAAAGGCCCTGATGGACTTGGTGTCAGACAGATCAAGTTTCCTGATGACCACGTTCTCATTTCCTGTGTCTTCCAAAATGTCCGTCCGTGCCTCCTCTGCCCTCTCGAGGTCTCTGCACGCCATGATGATGCGTGCACCTACAAAGTAAGATCCACAGAGCACAAGCTAGTGACAAATAGTATAATAAAATACAGTCCCTCACTACAGAGTATCAGTTTAGGTGAGCACAGGGACCTTAAATCACCCCAAGTTTCATTAGGAAAGACTTGACCCACATCATATTCTTGAAAGTGTGAAATTTCACTCTGAGCTCACATCCTGTTTTTGGCAGCAAATGATTTTTATACACCCCATAACAGCCATTTTCACAGCAGTTGTATTGTACTACCCTAATACTTGAACAGTAGAGTTCAAAAGATTCCCAAACTTAAAACTACAAAAAAAGCTTTGCTCATTTGGTGGGATACAAAAGCTCCCAGCATTAAATGAAGAACCTTAATCTTTCAGGGTTCTTCAGATTGTCCTCTAATGTTTTCTAAGCTCTTACTCAGCATCTCATTTAGCCAACTGCTCCACTCGAACAAACACAAGACCCTCTCGACTGTGTCGTTCTCATTCGCTTCTGACACAAATTACCATGCATTCTTCTTAATGAGCACAGAAGGGGGGGGGGGGGGGGGGGG